TATATATATATATATATATATATATATATATATTATATATATATATATATATATTATATATATATATATATATATATATATATATATATATATATATATATATATATATATATAATATATATATATATATATATATATATATATATATATATATATATATATATAATATATATATATAATATATATATATATAATATATATATATATATATATATATATAATATATATATATAATATATATATTTATTTTTTTTCTTGCGGTCCGAAATCATATTTTACGCTTTTCTGCAATCTGATTGGCTACGCGAGCGGTCCGTATGAGCCCGTACGGACCGCGCGAAATTTAAAGCCGTAAAGTCAATGTTTTTATTTTTGAAAATTTAAAGCCGAGCTTATTTAAGGCTACTTTTTAACATTAAAATGTCTGCAGACGACGAAGAACACAGTGAAAGTGAATTTTACATTGATAGAAACGACGTTTTAGCGCCTAGAAGAGCAGTGGAGGGCCAAATTTGTCTAACTTCACCCGAAGAGTTGGGTGAAATTCAAAGTTTTATCGAAAGGCAGCGCCCAGACAACACGAAAAAAAAGACGATGTACGACATAAATGTTATTAAAAGGTACTTTGAATCAATATACGAGACAAGAGAAATTGAAAACATACCTGCCAAAGAATTAAATGTCCAGCTCGCGAAATTTTTCATGAATGTACGCAAGAGAAATGGCAGCGTTTATGAACCTACTTCTCTCAAGGACTTCCAGAGAAGTTTGCAGAGATATTTGAACGACAAGAGTTCTACAATGAATATCCTACAAGACCAGGTGTTTGCCAAATCCCGTGAAGTTCTTATAGCGAAGAAACGAGAGCTTGTCCAACAACACGCCAAAGGAAACCGACCACAAGCTTGTCGAGAGTTGACGACGGCGGAGGAAGACAAGTTCTTCGAGTTGGGTTTGTTCGGAAAACACGACCCAGAAGTTCTCCAGAGGACCGTTTGTGGGTTCTTTCTCTTCATTTCGGCTTTCGAGCGCCAACAACAAAACCTTTCCTACTTCAACCAGTCTACAGTCGAAGGCATGTTTTCAGGGGCAACATTCAAAAGATCGAAGGCTGTCATTTCAACTTTTTTCTCAACGCGAGCAAAAGTCCGATCAGAGCTCCAGAAGCAACTTTTGCCAAAAAAGGCGTGTTATCTTGAGCGATGGCAGTGACTCGGACTAAATATAACCTTTTTGAGGTTTTCTGTTAGATTTGATTCCTCTATAATAAACTTCCATTGCATGATATTTATATATTTAAACGATTTTTTTCGCTTGAAAAATGCTTGTATTCAGAATGTTTCGTTGTTGAATTTTTTAAATAAACATGTCAGGTGACTTCCTTATTTGGCAGCTTCATTCGCGTGCGGGAGGGGAGGTTGGGGAAATTTAGAGGGGGGAATTAAAAAAAATAAAACTATTATTTACCGGTATGGTCGGTCCGTATAGAGAAATATTTCTCTCGGTCTTAAAAACGTCCCTCGGCCTTCGGCCTCGGGCCGTTTTTAAGACCTCGAGAAATATTTCTCTATACGGACCTCCAATCCGGTATATAATATAATATATATATATATATATTATATATTACAAGGTTATATGTACAAGTGGATGAGACATGAAACTTAATCCTATTTACAAAGCACGCGATTTAATAAACATGTTATGTGATAAGCTGACAGGACGCGGAAAGATTAACACACCGCGGTATATTTAAATGTCTAGCTTTTAAATGTTACTTAAAAGGAATTTTTTATTATGCCTACATGCTGATACTAACTCATTACGTTTGTTTAAAGTTGCCATTTTGGGCTTACAAATGATACAGTATTTCTCCCATAAACACAAATTACATCTATTTGAAGCACAGTTATAAGGCTTAGCTCGTTTCAATAGTTTCCATTTGATTGTATAATGGATGTTTCGATTTTTCAATTCCCACACGTATTTCCTAAGTTCAGTAGCGTTCCGTTTGTCAAAGGAGTTAAATGATGCTTTATGGTTTGCAAGTCTTGTTTTGAACGAGTTTTCAGTAAGGCCGACATATGTTTGGGGAGGTCTATTGATAGTTTTGTCCGTAGTAGTGACTGTAGCTTGATACACAACCGATTCTGTGATACATTTATTAGACAGTGGGCACAGTTCTTTATTGCTTTTAGGGCAACTGCACATGTCGAGACTATTCGTGGAGAAAGCTGTGGACAGCGTAGATTTGTTGTGTCCATCGATAGTCTGCTTAATGTTTGGCATACAGCTGTAGCTGATCTTGACGGTATTACGGTTGAATATTTTGTGTAATGGGTGATCTGCGGGGAATTCCTCGTCAATTATTTTCAAGAAAGTCTGGCCAACATTATAGTCGAAACATTCTTGCTATATGGTGGGTTATACCATATAATTTTTCTTTTACGGCTTCGGGTTTTGTTATTGGTCGTTAGGTTTAGGGGGTGTTCAAACTGTAGCTTGTGGTTGTATCCACTTTTGTCAAGGGCTTGTTGATATGGCGGAGAGGCTTGTTCGAATGAATCTTTATCAGAGGATATCTTGGTTAGTCGTTTGTTAATGGATAATGGAATATTACGCAGAACACTAGGTGGGTGGTTAGACTTGCTATGCACATAAAGAGATATGTTGTTAGGCTTAGAGTATGGATGATATTTACCAGTGGTTAGATTCAGTGTAACGTCAAGGTTGCTGAATAAAGTGCACAGATCCTTCTTAATTAGTTCTATTTGGCGCGGTGTTGCTAAATATATATATATATATATATAATATGTAATATATATATATATATATATATATATATATATATATATATATATATATATATATATATATATATATATATATATATATATATATATTAATACTTAAAATGTTTTTGTTGCTACATATATATTAATACTTAAAATGTTTTTGTTGCTACTCCGAGTTTCATGCCGTAAAGGCAATCATCAGGCAACAGTTTTTGCTTCTGAATGTCAGTTTGTTGATGTTTGCTGACGATACTCGCTTGCTTACGCATGTACATAATTTCATAAAATGCGCGCGCGTATATATAATGTCACGCGCGGTCGTAATTTCCCGCTAAAAATCTTTTTTGGTGTTGGCACTTTGAGAAAATCTCGGATCTTGAATTTAGCACGAGTTTCTTGTTTGCTTTCAGGATGCATAGTTTCTCTTGAGTGCACAAGCTACACTGTTTTCCACTGCTTGAATACGGCACGGCATGTTTTAAAATTGACCAGGTTAAAGTGAAAGGTCGTCCGCTTTCTTTTAGCTTCCAAATGTATTTAGACAGTTCCGTCTCGTTCTTGTAAGTGTCGTTCGTAAATGACTTTTTGTGGTTTCTGTAACGTTCTTTAAAAGAATTTGCAGTCATCCCGATGTAGCGTTTAATTTCTCCGTTATCTCTTGTTGTGACTTCAGCTTCATAAACAAGGCTGCTTTCAAGGCAATGCTTTCCAAGTGGGCATTCATTCGCTTTTCTGCAGTTGCATTTCTTTTCAAGTACGGCTCCGGCTGTTGTGTTAGAAGTGTTTGTAGCGTTTGTTGTCTTCGAGAGAATGCGGTGGTTGTGTCTAGAAACGGTGCTTTTTACATTTTCCATGCAGGAGTAACTCACTTTGATTGTATTGCGGTTGAAGATCTTGTGGAGCCTGCTCCATTTCGGAAAATGCTTGTCAATTATTATTATTATTATTTAAGCTTATTTATTCACGGTAGCCTTTCAGAAGCCTGTTTTTCAAAGGGCCGTGCACACTTACTATAAACTATTATAAGAATATTAAAATTATTAACTAAAAAAAAAACAATCATGCATAATATACTCTATTTACATCGGCAAGGCATAATGCTTTGATATGGTTTGGCAGGAAGACCTCCCAATTCAAAAACACAAGCCATCTATTAATTTTTTAAAAGAACAGATGGAAGTTTCAGGTATTTCCGTAATTGGAAGTTTTTCCATTAACATTTGGTTCCATGAAACTGCTCCTCTATAGGGGAAGCTTCGTTTTAAAAAATTCGTCTTAGGTTTTGGTAGGTAAAGCTTTTGATGATTATTTCGTAGTTGGTAGGTTTGGTTAACGGAGACATGAAACATCTGTGTTAAGTATTCTGGAGCCATACCCCTAAGTGATTTAAATGTCATCACTAATTCTCTCTTTTTTAGTATTGATTGTATTTTTGTCCATTTGAGCATTTGAAAAATTTCAGAAGATCGTTCTTCTAAGCGCGAACTGGTAATGATCCGTGCTGCACGCTTTTGCAATTTCAGCATTTTTTCGGCGTGCATTTTATTACCATCATACCATATAGTTGAACAATATAGACCATGGGATTCACAACAAGTGAGTCTCACAAAGAGGGACCAACCAAAACCAAATTAAATCGTCCTATCAAGGCCTATGTTACGCGAAACTGGCAGGTAACAAGTCCAAATACCCGGCTTTTTTATAAAAATAACCCAATGTGTGATTTCGCTTATTAGCTAAGACATGTGAGCCAAGAAATGCTCATATCACGATCTTTGAATGATAATTTTTTTTTACTAATTCCTCAAACAACTTCAATTATAGTTTAAAAGCACTAGAACGACTCGCGATTATGATAGAAGATATATTTTACACTCCATGAATGGTGAAAACAAAGTTTTGGCACAAAAACCCCTAAAATATCAATAATTCAATGCCTACTCGAATTTTTCTTTACTCAGCCCAAGTTTTATTAAATTTAGATCAATCAGATAGCTTGTTTTTTGTGTATTTAAGATTGAATTTTTTTAATTAAGGTAACTAAGACACAATAAGCGGAAAATCGAGTGTAGAATTCACACTGTATATAGTATAAAATATCTTTATTTTATCAACACACTTTGTTTACTATCTACAAATATTTTTCGTTCGATCGAGAGACCTAATATGGTTCTAACATGATGTTTATCATAAATTAGTTGTCTGACCAAGCCGCTGACCAGGTTATATTTTTTCCCTTACAAGGCCCCCCCCCCCAGTGCGGTAACGTCTTGGTAAGCGTACCGTACGGCCAGAACGTGTCGTTAAAGATGGTGTTGGTAATACCGTTGGCAAGAGTGGTTCAATTGCATCGGGAGAAACAGGTGTCATGGGATGTGTGGTTGGCTTGAGCGGTGGGTCGTTCCTTTTCTCAAGGAATGCTGGCTTGAGCCTGTTGATAGAGACTGTATCACGGCACCCATTCGTGTTGAGCGTAAAGAACTTGTCAGTGCGTTGGATGACTAGGAATGGGCCGTCGTAGGGTCGTTGGAACGCACTTTTGACTGCATCGTGCCTAACGTAAACATGTGTAGCTTGTTGTAATGCACGCCGGTATATAAGATGGAGGCAAACCGTAGTTTTTTGGGGGAACAGGACGTTGCTGGTGCATTGTATTCCGAGAAGAGAAATGAGAGATGACCAGAGTTTGGATTCAAATTGTCGGCCACGATCCGACATTATGCTCCTGGGCAGGCCAAACCGTGATTTCCAACCATGTAACAGAGCACATGCACAGCTTTCCGCTGTCATGTCGACCATCGGAATAGCCTCAATCCACCGAGAGTAGCGATAAATGCATGTGAACAGATAGGTAAACCCTCGAGACAGCGGAAGTGGGCCGAAAATGTCAACCTAAATCTCAGCGAAACGATGATCTGGGATATCGAACTTCTGGAGCGGCGCTGTAGTATGACGATGAATTTTAGATTGCTGGCAAGCATTGCAAGTTCGAATCCACCGTCGAACATCACGATTGAGACCGTTCCACACGAACCGAGCGCTGACGAGCTTACAGGTGGATCTAGCGCCTGGATGGAAAAATTGTGCATCAGATTGAATATCTCGCGACGAAAAGACTCTAGGACTATTGGTAGAATATTACCCTGAGATGAGTCGCAGAGAAGTGTAAGGTTGTCATCGCCATCAAGGAAAACATCCACTAACTTTAAATTTGTTATGCCAGCTTTTAGGCACTGGGTTTCATGATCATCAGCTTGTGCTTGAGCCATTGCCAGAAAGTCAATTTTGGTATAGGAGGTGGCATTGATTTGGATTCTGGAAGATGCCACTGCGTTATTCTTACCCTTGACGTGTCGCAGGTCGGTGGTAAACTCAGAAATAAAAGCCAACTGCCGGATTTGCGGCAGTGAGCGTTAGGTT